AAACCCTGGACATCACCAGGGATCCCTCTTCCTCCTCCTCCTCCTGTGTGTCACTCAAGTATCGTGCAACTGCAGAAACATTTTATAGCTTAAGTTAACTTCCTTGCCGTTTCGCTATCATTCACCAATCCAGACTTCTAACATTTCCCCCACTTTCCACATGCATCTCTTTCCAAAAAAGAAAACTCATAAGAAAAAAACCCTTCAACCTGCATTCGTTTCCTCTCCAACCTGGTAAAAACTTGCCAAATCTCCTTTTTCTTCTAGTAACGTGACACCAGTACTACATGCAAACCAACAACTAAACACTCCTAATTGCTCTCTAACAACGTAGAAGATACACCAGGAACAGAACAATAATAATGTAGCCTGGCTGAATTCTACACATCTAAATATCATCCTATTAACATACTGTTTTGGTCTGTGGATTTAGCAGTGAAATCAAGACCTTAATAACTGACCTTGTCCTCTGTGTTAACCTTTAACAATCGCCACTGCCCCCCTTGACCTCAAAGCCCCTCATGTCCTTCCTCTGTGAGCAGGCCCAGCCCACTCCTGGCCCGCACTTTTCAGCATAAATAGTAAGCAGTGCTACAGGTGCACAGTATGATAGAGATAGAGAGCAGCTAGCTACACTAGCGCTCTTCTGGCTGGATATCACCTGGGTTTAAATGCCATGTACTGTACTATCAGCATTTCAAATCACTACTATAGAAACTTTCCTGCACAAATGAGTATGAATCTCAGGTGAGGAAACCCCCATTAAAACTGTGAATTGATAACTGCTTGCTAAAGATGATAAAAGAGTAACATAACTAAATGCTAGCTAAATATACATTATTTATCATATCCTATCTTTGCTAGGTTGTAACAAAAGAAAAATACGTATATATATATTTCATATAATTATGCTGTTTTTTTTTTTCAAGTATGAAAATATATTCAGATTTCCATTCTGGGAAACCTAAGGCACTATATCAAGTTTTCAAGAATTTACTGTTTTTTTTTTTAAATAGCTTGTTTGATTACGTGTGGCCCGTACAAAAGGTCGAAGTACACCTCACCGGGTATGAATGGGGCAAAAAAAAGGAGAAAAACTAGAAATTTATTATTTTCTAAAAGTTCATAGATCGTCACACCATCGCTCATGTGGCATTACTGGCAGCTCATGCCCTCTCGCTCCAGTTAGTTCATTGGTGGACAATCATGAGTGGTGTGTGTGGGTCGGGTGGCGGTGGGAGTTCACAAGTTGACGTCCCGTACATCCGTGGGGGTGCTGGACTGGTCTTGTTGCTCCCTCGCCTTGTTGCCTGCTCTGACCCCGGTCTCCTGTCGGTACTGCTGCCCCTGCTGCAGGCTGGTGGCCAGCACACGCTCTATTTGCTCTTGGCATGCCCTCAAACAATCCTGGAACAAAAAGGGTCAGGCGTCGTTACACATACACACACTTCAGTTACACTTTTCTCAAGAAAGCGCAGGCTTTTACAACCTTGTGGAGTTCATTTTGTTTCTATGCATTCATTGTTATTGTCTTTTGTTTAGCACCTTCTAAACTGTCCGTACCCTAAATGTGTATGATTTGTTTTGCCAATTTAAGAAAGTATAAACCAAAAATACAAGAGAAATTAAACAGGTGCATATAAAAACAAAATATTGTGTGACTCAAATTATTATTAGAGAACAGTTCAAGGTTGTAATAAGCGGTTTTACTATTTATACACACAAATACAGCAGAAAAAAATATAGGAAATGAAACTATGATACGGTCTATTTCGATGTAAAGTGATTGTATCTAAACTAGTTTGAGCGTTTTCCACTGAAAGTCTGAATATATTAATAAGTCAAGGTTTAAAAAACTGTCCTAAATATTGTGTATGGTCTACTCTACAGACATGAATGATACATCATTTGAAAGCCCCATGTCAGCACTTTTAATTGATTTTCTCAGTTTGTCTCTACATGATCATAAATAAAATTATTTTAAATTAAAACCGATTTGGTGCATTCACGGATCAATAGCTGGACACCAGACGGTTTAATCTGTACACCCGTACACAGACACTGGCGTGCAAAAATCTAGCATTTCATTACATCTGATGTACAAGTTGTTTAACAGCTTTGGTCACATGCATGGCATACCAGCAGGGAATTATGTGTCTTAAGGTAGGTGGTCCTGTCTGCATCATGACCGGAACAATGGGTACCAGCACACTCCACACAAACAACACAGTGCAGCGAGCTACATAGCGGGCACAGGAATCCTCTCCGACACTGGACCTGTGCACGTCTGAGGCTTGAATACAAGAGGGGGAATGTGTAGGGGCAAGCCTCCTAAAAGGAGCTCTGTGGTCTATCAGGGAACAGATAAGCAGATCTGAAACTCTGGACTCCCTCCCCCATGGGTTTACAGCACGGTCAGTCCCATGTGGAGGTCTAGAGGAAATGGCTTTGACCTACTGCACCCTTACCCTCTGAGTTTGGGTGTAAAACAGAATATAGGACAGTGGGACCGGATGTTTTTGGACAACTTCTCTTGTGAAAGGGGATCCTCTCTCTCTCTTTTTCTCTCTCTCTCTCTCTCTCTGTCTGTCTGTCTGTGTCCCTCCGCAGGTCTGTGTGGAAAATGTGGGAGGTCTGCCTCACTGAGCCGGCTACAGGACTCTTAAAAGAATGAACCGAGGCTCGCAAAGAGGCCAACATTCCTTTGAAATGTACGGATAATTGGAACCCGATGGGCTGCAGTCGGAGCGCCTGTTGTGACGGCTGGGTTGCGGGGCCCTCGTCGCCATGGCAACGTGACCACAAGCTAAAGAGGCAACCATGTTGTTCCTGTGGCCCACTGGCTGCAGCCTTTTTGGATTTCTAGGCGTTCAAAGTGGTCCTCTGGTGTAACAATGACTTATTGTGACAATGGAAGCGCACACTGGGATGAATGTGGTGTAAGAAGTATTTCTTCAAGTTAGTGTGATTGCTGTGCAGATACTAATATGCAAATACAATTCCCATAGAAACACATTGTATCTAAATCTCAGCCAGCGTATACAAACAAAAACTCTAATCTCGTTATGATTACATTTATAGTTTATGAATTATGGGATTATATAATATATTAAACACTATAAAGGCCCATTCAGTCTCATTGTATTCATACCACAGCCCCTGTATACAGTTCAAAATCCATTCCAATTTCAAAATGCTAATTACTGCGGACTGATAAACTGCATGACTTAAATCAAATGAGAGTGAATGGCTCTCTGTAGACTTTATGTTATATAACACAGCGCCTGGATACAATATAAACCCCATTTTCATTTCAAAATGCTTGATCAAATCTACATATGCCTATTATGATGATATATTAATTACATTAAAGTCTATAAAGGTCCATTGTATTTATAACAGAGCACTTGCTTACAGTACGTCGATCAACATCAACAGTTTATGATGCATTCAGGTCTAATGAAAGCTCCATTCACTGCCACTGCTATATGTCAGTGAGTTTTCATATATATATATATATA